GAATATGTTTAGAATTAATATTTTCTTTCTTAATAGATTTATTCCTTTTTATTAATTTTTGATTGATTGAAAGATTTCCCATAGGTAATTTTTGAACATATGCTAAATCGCGATACATCACTTTAACGCGATGCCTAACTGACGATGCATCACAATTTAAAATTTCTGACATCACCCAGTCCTAGTCATAGTATTTTTCAATTAAGGTATAATTTTAGTTATTTGGCTACTATTTTTGATAGATTTTTGTTCCTATTCAGGCAACTATTTTCATTGTTTTAGGCAACTATTTTCATGAAGCAACTATTTTGGTTCATTTTTTACTGTGGTGACCCTGATTTAATACAGTCGATATATATGTAACTATATATACCTATAGATTAACTCTATTTTATTTAACAACTTTATTTGAAATTTCAAGTTTTGTTTAAATTTGAATATCTTAATTCCCAAACAATTTAAATCTACTTAGATTCAATTTTTCTTTAAGAAATCTTTGAAACTACTTATATATATTTCTATAATAATGTTATATTTTATTTCATGGTATTATTTAAATCGTTAAGTTATTATCTTTAGAGAAACTATGTTGTGTGCAATATAGGTTTTTCCACTTTGGTTTAATAGTATTTTATGTGCAAAATCTTTATCGATTTTGTTTTGAAATATCTTATATAATTCCTAAATATAGGTAGATTTTTTTAAAATTCAGAATGTGTAAAAGCTGCATCTATGCCGTTTTTATTAAACTCATGTTTGTGAAAATTGCCGCGATGCAAGGAAGGATTGAACAATCTTAGCAATATGAGGGCGGGCATTGTCCTGTTGAAATACAGCGCCTGGCAAGGCTTGAAGGAAAGGAACAGCTTGGGGCTTCAGAACTTCCCTGGTGTACCGGTTGCTGTTCAGATTACCCACAATTCGGAGCAATTGAGATCGTCCATGATATGCTATGGCACCCCAGACCATAACTCCGGCTGTTCGTCCACTGTGGATTTCGATAATGCACTCCGGAAGGCGGCCATCATGGTACCACAAATTAAAGCGGGATTTGTCAGAAAACAAGACATGCTGCCAATAAGCCCGCCAGTTACTATGCTGATTTGCCCATTGTAGCCGCAGGCGGCGATGGTTTAGCGTGAGGGGGATCCTGTATAAAGGAGTCCTTGCGTGCAGTCTACGCTGCAGCAGACGTCTACGAATCAATGAAGCACACAATGAAACACCTGTAGCTATTGACCACTGTGCTGTCAGTTGTCTAGAGGGAGCCGTACGATCCGTCAGCGCCGGATGAGGTGTCTGTCATCACGAGCTGACGTCACATTTCGGGGTCCACTCCCAGATTTTCGAGTTGTCCGACACTCGTCCATCCACTGCTTCCAAACACGCATCACTTTGCTGCTGTTACGCTGCACACAAGCGTCTACTACACGATAAGACAATCCAGCTTCACAAAGGTCGATGATTCTCCCCCATTCAAACTCCGTAAACTGTTGAAATCTCGCTCTCTTTCGTCGAAGAGGCATAAGTAACGACTAAGCTAACGTTTACCACTAGCAGATAAACACCGATAACCATACACGCTTCGCTACAGCCGTCTATTTATTCGGATCCATCCGCCGTTCAGAGGGCTCTAGGGGTCTGAAATTCCAATCATTTACTTATCATGCTCTACTTTGCATTTCCTGAAAATTTCAGCTCACTCGCGTAAGTCCTTCTTGGTCTTGAAATTTTCACAAACATGATCTTATTATGAGAGCGATTTTAAAAATTCGTTTGATTTCAGCTGGAAATATATTTTGTAGACTAGAAGTTGCTAATTTGAGTTACTTAGTTTTTTTATTAATTGAATGACCTTAAGCAATACTTCTAGATACATTTAAAACTCTAAAGTTTGTTCTCTTAAATTTTCCTCATTAAATCTTTTACCTTAATAATGTAATCTTACATCTTGAATTTTGTGCAGAGTACATGACTACTGCAATGAAGAAACAAAAGTCTTATGGACAGGTATTTGATCACATACTTTAACAATCATTATTCCTTGTATTTATGTTTCTTCTTTGAGGCAGAAAAAATGCTTATTTATACAATGTTGTCTGTAATAATCACCTTTAATATGTATCTTTGGAATATTTCTAAAAGTTAAGCTAAAAAGTATTCACAATAGAGGTTGAAAATTAATTTTTAAGCGAGGAAAAAAAACTGCTATCAAAATCTGTTGAATTGCTCCTTTAAAACGGAAGAGTTAAAAAGCAGTTCTTAGAATGACCTCCAAGTTTGAATAGGCAATTTGATNGAAAATTAATTTTTAAGCGAGGAAAAAAAACTGCTATCAAAATCTGTTGGATTTGCTCCTTTAAAACGGAAGAGTTAAAAAGCAGTTCTTAGAATGACCTCCAAGTTTGAATAGGCAATTTGATATTTTTCATTCTGTCGTTTTCACTAATGATTTGACAATTTTTAATCATGTTCTTTGTTTCTTCCTGAAATCTCCTAATGTATAATTTTTTATTTCATTTTACTTACCCAATCCTGTAATAAATAAATGTACGAAAATGTTGTTATAAAAATTGGTTAAACTTTTTCTTCAGCCCTGAATGAGCATTGGCATTCTTCAGAATTCCATTTCATGCAGATTATGTTTTAGTATGCTTAATTTTCCATCATGACCCCTCTTTTTTGGGTACCAGGTGGTTTGATTATAAAATGACCTAATAGAGGCTTAATGTAAATTAAATTTATATTCAGCAAATTGGTTTAAATCATTAGGAAAGCTGATTTACATCATTGAGAAAAATATATAGAGTGTGATAAGAAGTTAAAAAACAGCATTCAAATTTCCTAGGCTTAAAAATTCTAAAGTTGAGAAAACTCTTTGCTTCCATATAAGTTCTTTGGAAATTATTAAATGTTTCCTTAAATTATCTTAAACCAGTGCATGAAATAATTTTATTGAATAATTTTATGGTGACTAAATTATATAGTACTGATTAAACTTTTGACGCAGTGTACTTATAAATTCTGATTTACTATTGGTTTTTACTCTAAAATTCAAATAACCCTAGTATTTTTATTATTGTTTTTTGATATTTATACAATTCATTATTTCTGTATTCATAAAATATATCTTAAATTTTTAAAGTGCCATAGTTTCATTTTTCAAAGCTGTTTATTGTTTTGCTTGCAAATTATTTTTTGCCTGTTCATCCTTAAGTTTTAGTGTATATCAGTCTATAGAATTATTAGTGTTTTCTTTGCGAAAAAAATACTAGTCTAATCCATTATTGATTTGCCTCTATCATACCTTTTAAAGTTAGTTAAGATAGAAACAAGAGAAGGCAAATAACTAAAAAAGGGTAACTATCTCTGATATTCAAAAAGTTTTACCTTTTGTCAAAAATCTAATTCAGTTCAAAAGAGATGCATATAACATTCTTGTAATGTACTCTCCTTAACCTAATTTTGAGGCAAAATTTTAAAATGAATGTTTTTTTAGGAACTTACAACGAAAATTAAATTTAGTTGTAAGTTCCTAAAAAAACATTCATATTTTAGGAACATTACAACTTAATTAAAGTTTTGAAATCAAAAAGAAAAAAGGTATTATTCCGCAGATCTTTTCAGCAAAGAAAGTAACAGAAATTTCACTTACATTAGTTCTTTCTTAAGAATATTTATGTTTGTATTTTTGCCTTTGTGATCAAAATATGAATAGGTTGACTACACTTGTTATCCTCACTTTCATATTTGTACTTGTCATTTTTATTTTATTTTAAAACTAGTGTATGCCTCCAGCTTATTTCTATAGTCACACAGAAAGCACCACAAATCATATAAAAATTTAAAAACAATTAACTCACAAGACTTAGTGAATCTGTATCTCAAAATTAACAAATATGGAGTTAACCTGCTTTACAAATAAGGCTTTTATCTGTTCTATGTGCCATGTTTAAATTTAACTGATTCTAATTTTCATAAGTGTAAAGATCCCTGCTTGAAAATTTGATTAATTATTCCCCTTCACTTGGAAAAAATCGCAAGTCAAACTATTTGACAGTTTATAGGTGTTGTGTATCAGAGTAGCATGATTTAAATCAACTGTAATTTATTTATTTTTTTAAATTATTTAAATCACAGGGTTGCCACAGCAAAAAAGGAACAAAAATAGTTGCCTCTAGTAGCCTCAAGAAGGAAAATAGTTGCCTAAAACTACGAAAATAGTTACCTGAACAGGGTTAAAAATTTATAAAAAATAGTAGCCAAATGACTAAAATTATAGTTTATTTGTCATATTCTATGATTAGGACTGGGTGTTGTCAGAAGTTTTAAATCGTGATACATCGCGATAGAGCAATGTATCGCAATTTAGCATTTGTTCAAAAATTACCTATGGCAAATCTTTAAATCAATCAAAAATAAATAAAAAGAAATAAATCTATTACAAAAGAAAATACTAATTCTAAACATATTCCACTATGATATCAATATTATTGCTTAATAGTTTCAATTAAAATAATAAAGAAGTCAAAGTAAAAGCAAACCCAAGTTTTATTTCATTATTCTTAAATACTAATGCCAGTACTGCAGTATGTTGAGTGTTAATTGTTTAACTTGAGCCGTGATGGCTCCAAGGATAGAGCATTCACCTTCTAATGAGGTAAACCCAGCTTTCAATCCGAGTGATGACTGGTCGATACGCATTCCACATCCGGCTGGCACCAACCACAGTTCTGACGTGAAATATCCTCAGTGGTAGACGGATCAAGGGTTAGATTCCCCTTCCCTGATGGGAGGTTCTCGTGATCTTCCTCTCCATCCAGCGGGTTAATTGCATAAGAAAGCCCTCCTTAGAGGCAAATTTCTCCCACTACTTGATCCACGGGTTCACTAGTCGTTAACCCAAAATTGGGTCGGTTAGTAAAATCTTGGTTATTTTATTTCTCCAATGTTGGCCAGTATAAGAACTGTCTTAAGGACCTTCCTAACATATAAATATATTACTTAAATTCAAACATGCATTACTCATTCCTTAACAGGCAAATTTATTATTTAAATCTATTTTTTATATGAAGTGTTTTCTTTTTAAAGGGCACAGAATTGAGCAGTGGAGAAGTAGATCTATGTCATCCCTCACCCTTTTCCCCATTTTGGAGATGATTTCCTTTCTTGTGGATTATCAGTGCAGCATTTATTGGATAGTATCATCCAATTTTTGACTGGAGTATTTTCACATTGTATTATAGTAATTCAGCAAGGAAATTTCCAGACAATTTTATTTTCCATCTAGAGAAATCTAGTTTAATAATAGCATTAAGAGTGTTCAGAAGATATTCCAAAATAATTAGCAATTTCTGCTCTTAATACTACTTGAAAATGATAAAATACTATCAATATTTCTTTCAAAGTAGATATTATGCTAGTGGAATCAAAACCTTCAAGTACTGATACAATCACATTAACTAGCAAGAGAAGAATTTTCTATGTTTGAATTCCCGTTTAACTTTTATTTTATGTATAAATAGAAAACGAAATTTTATTAGAATTACTAACTGATTAGTTGAAGTTATTTAAGGATGAATTTTTTTTTTCTTTAAATAAATTTTAGCTTAAACTGGAAATTTGTGCATGTTAATGTAAGTATCAGTTTAACTTCCTATCATTTCTTTAAATCATCTCAATATTTTTTTTGTATGATGTTAGAAAAGATATAAATTCTTTAATCACCGATTATTACTGTCATTCTCATTGTTTAACAATCTTTTAACATTGCTTGCCTTTATTCATTAAAATTAACTGAAATTGATTTATTTTAGTGTTTGAGAAGTTATTGCTTAAATTAAAATTTAGTTAAATATGATAGTTTGTTACGTTTTTACCTCAAAAAATGTCATTTGTGTTTATGGAGAACAGTTGCTCTATGTAGTTATTAAATTGTAATTTATATTATACAGTTATTAATTGATGAATAACATCCCTGAATTTTATTCAAATTCTTGTTTTAATATTTTATAAGCAGTACAGACAGGTAAATTGCAATTTATTTTGGAATATCTTTTTATGAGTTTTACTCTAATCATGTCTTTTTATAGAATCTCATTTTATTTTTTAAGAAAAATAGTATTTTAGTAGATTGAAATGTGATTTTAGTAACTATTTTGATTTTGTTTATTCTCTGAATTCAACTTGTTTATATATCTTTGTATTTACATATTTTTGTTAACCGTTTTTCGATTGTGTTATGTTATGAAAAAGTCATTGGAGTTGTATAATTAGGGTTTCAAGTTTGTCAGGGAGTGAATTTTCATGCTCATTTCCATGATTTATTATTCTTAAATCCAGAAATGTTTTGAAGTGCTGTGATTTGTGCAATAATTGTTTACACAGATAAGTTTTTTCACCTTATTCTAATTCAACAACACTTATTCTATCAACAATTACTACTTCTCTGCAGCTTTAAAATTGATAATTTTTTATTGATAAAATGTTTAGGAAAATAGATCAATAGCAGTTTTACATGAAAATAGTTCAGAGATAGTCCAAATCTTATTAAGTAAGGTGGTCTTACTATCTTTTCAATTATAAGTTAATAAGAGCAACATGACTTCCAAATAGTGCAATAAGCTCTTACTTTACCAGAAATTAATTGAAATGACAATTAACTGAGTGAGGGGGTTACACAGGCTATATGACCAGGACTGTGAAATTTATAAAAACTTTGCATTAAAAAATGTATAGAAATGTTTACAACTAAATATTTGATGAACGGAAAAACATATCAAGAATAATTTAACAATTTGCAATATTTCTTTGAAATTCTGTTTATATGAATAAATTTAGTGTTACATAAAATTAAATTAAATCGAAAAATTTTTTCTGCTCCTTTACATGCTTATATTTGTATTCCTCGGAAATTTCTAAATTTTATGTGAAATTTGACGACAAGCTTGCAACCCTAATTATGACCAATTTAAAAACACATTGTTATATTATCAAAATTCTTTGTTAAATGATCAGGAGAAATTCTTTATCTTTGAGAATTTGTGAATCAATTTTTCAGCAAACTGGTTTTTAGTATTTGTGTTTTGCATGTCATGTTGTTCTATTTGTTTATTATTTAATTAAAAGTTTCAAACTCATAAATTATTGACAAATATATTTCATTTATATGCAAAATACAGTAGAACCTCAGTTATCCTACACCTCTTTCAACAATTGTTAAACTGTATTGCATTCTGGCTGATGTATTGTTTCTTTTTAGTCATTAAACTCATTAATTACTACAGTAATGATAATTCTGAAAAACTCCTAGGAAGTGACCACAAAAAAAAATTAAGAATGACTTATTTTTCATGCTATTGTGTCATAGGATTATTTTATTTATGACAGAAAAAAAAAACACGGGTGAGGCAGACATAGGATTATTCAAAGTTTCTAAATTTTAGAAGAGAGAAAATGCTATATTAACTATTGATTTTTTTTAAATAATATTCCTACATTATTTTGCTATTTTACTCTAATATGATTTTATTCTCCTTAATCCATATCTGCTGCCAACTCTCCTGGATTTTCCAGTAGTTCTCCTGGATTTTGGCCAGTTTCACCTGGTTTATCTTTATTCGTTAAAATTAACTGAAATTTATTAATTTTAGTGTTTGAGAAGTTATTGCTTAATTAAAATTTAGTTAAATATGATAGTTTGTTACGGTTTTACTTCAAAAAATCTCATTGCTCTATGTAGTTATTAAATTGTAATTTATATTATACAGTTATTAATTGATGAAAAACATCCCTGTATTTTATTCAAATTCTTGTTTTAATATTTTATAAGCAGTACAGACAGGTAAATTGCAATTTATTTTGGNTAGTTATTAAATTGTTATTTATATTATACAGTTATTAATTGATGAGAAACATCCCTGTATTTTATTCAAATTCTTGTTTTAATATTTTATAAGCAGTACAGACAGGTAAATTGCAATTTATTTTGGAATATCTTTTTATGTGTTTTAATCTAATCATGTCTTTTTATAGAATCTCATTTTATTTTTTAAGAAAAATTTTATTTTAGTAGATTGAAATGTGATTTTAGTAACTATTTTGATTTTGTTTATTCTCTGAATTCAACTTGTTTATATAACTTTGTATTTACATATTTTTGTTAACCGTTTTTCGAATGTGTTATGTTATGAAAAAGTCATTGAAGTTGTATAATTAGGGTTTCAAGTTTGTCAGGGAGTGAATTTTCATGCTCATTTCCATGATTTATTATTTTTAAATCCAGAAATGTTTTAAAGTGCTGTGATTTGTGCAATAATTGTTTAAGCAGAGAAGGTTTTTCACCTTATTCTAATTCAACAACACTAATTCTATCAACAATTACTACTTCTGTGCAGCTTTAAAATTGATAATTTTTTATTGATAAAATGTTTAGGAAAATAGATCAGTAGCAGTTTCACATGAAAATAGTTCAGAGGTAGTCCAAATCTTATTAAGTAAGGTGGTCTTACTATCTTTTCAATTATAAATAAGAGCAACATGACTTCCAAATAGTGCAATAAGCTCTTACTTTGCCAGAAATTAATTGAAATGACAATTAACTGAGTGAGGGGGTTACACAGGCTATATGGCCAGGACTGTGAAATTTATAAAAACTTTGCATTTAGAAATGTTAGCAACCAAATATTTGATGAACGGAAAAATATATCAAGAATAATTTAACAATTTGCAATATTTCTTTGAAATTCTGTTTATATGAATAAATTTAATGTTACATAAAATTCAATTAAATCGAACAATTTTTTTCTGCTCTTTTACTTGCTTATATTTGTATTCCTCGGAAATTTCTAAATTTTATGTGAAATTTGACGACAAACTTGCAGCCCTAATTATGATCAATTTAAACACATTATCAAAATTCATTGTTAAATAATCAGGAGAAATTCTTGATCTTTGAGAATCAATTTTTCAGCAAACTGGTTTTTAGTATTTGTGTTTTGCATGTCATGTTGTTCTATTTGTTTATTATTTAATTAAAAGTTTCAAACTCATAAATTATTGACAAATATATTTCATTTATATGCAAAATACAGTAGAACCTCAGTTATCCTACACCTCTTTCAACGCTTGTTAAACTGTATTGCATTCTAGCTGTTGTATTGTTTATTTTTAGTCATTAAACTCCTTAATTACTACCATGATCATAATTCTGAAAAACTCCTAGGAAATGACCAAAAAAAATTGAGAATGACTTATTTTTCATGCTATTGTGTCATAGGATTATTTTATTTATGACAGGAAAAAAAAAACACGGGTAAGACAGACATAGGATTATTCAAAGTTTCTAAATTTTAGAAGAGAGAAAATGCTATATTAACTATTGATTTTTTTAAATAATATTTCTACATTATTTTGCTATTTTACTCTAATATGATTTTACTCTCCTTATTTNATCCATATCTGCTGCCAACTCTCCTGGATTTTCCAGTAGTCTACTGGATTTTGGCCAGTTTCTCCTGGTTTAATAAAACATCTCCTAGTTTTTGTACATTTTTAGAAAATTCCCTAAAATTGAGTAAGTTTCCTAAAAGAAATCCCTAATGAAATAGTATTTTTGCACTGATTGCTACTTGCTTGAATATTTAAATATGTATTACTGAAACGTTATGAAGCGAGCCTCATTTATAATAATCAATTGAAAGCTGTTTTTTTTTTATTAAAATGTACTGTTATTTATATGTGTTGCACCTATTTATTTAGAGTGGTCTGATTATAACATGTTTCATCAGAGACAAATTTTAGAGATATCTGTAAATGAAGCAAAATGTTTTTGATTTGTCGTAGATAAATTTACACATATCTTATAAATATGTGATTAGAAATTTAAATTAGGAAATAAAGAGGTACATTACAGTTGTTTGCAAACAAAATTGCAAATGCATGTAATAATTATGAGTTTATTTAAAAGTTTGTAAATTAACTGAATATTTTTAACACTTAGTTATTTAGTGATTGATTAACGATAACTAGTTTTATCAGTGATAAATTTTAATGTATTTCTATGCTATAATTTGTGAATTTACATTCAGTGAATCAGAATGTTTTTTTAAAATTATGTATGCATAAATCTGATATCAATCTTATTATTTTTTCCCTAGAATTGACGAGTTAAATAAAGCTGCAGCTGTTTATGAAATTCTTTTAACATTGCCTGATTACTTCAACAAGTAAGTATCTTAAAGTTTCATCATTTTTAAAAGATCTCTATCATCAAGTCCCCCTTTCATATTTATTTCTTTGTTTTATTTTGTAAAAGAATGAAATGTTTGCATTTTTTAAAGTTTTTTTTCTTCATACAATTGTGAATGAAATGTCTATTTAATATTCTGTAAAAATAGTTTTAAAAAAAATTAAGATATTATAGTCAATAGGATTTCTGTCTCAAGAAATGTAGTGGTGTAATGAGTTCATAAGTTTCTGTCACTTTTGTCAATTTTCTAACCTCTTTAAATGATACTTTCCTTTTCTCCATTCCTATCGGAGGAATTTTTTTTCTTTTAGAAACAGCTTGTATACTGAATGGACCAATTTGCTGTCTGAAGTGCACAAAGTTTCGTTTAACTTATGAAGACTGTTGTTATGAAGGCATTTTAAATTTCTCTCCATTATAAAGGATACTCTACTGTAATTCTTTCAGTAATTACACTACCCACTGACCATCGATTTTAATTCATTCGATTATGACTTATAATTTTTAAAAGCTGCCGATTTTATAACTAGCTTTTGAATGATTTAGAAATATATATATATAGTGGCAGTGTGGCGTGGG